TTCTATGGGGAAGGAAATAGAAATCAACCTTCTATGAAAATACACAAGAATTTTAGTCCAGCAAATACTCATTTCAAAGGCCAGCACACATAAGGCAACATGGTCAAGGGGTTGTGAGGGATGCTATCAAAATATAAAACACATTTTCTTTGTATTATGTGAATTTATCAGGAGAAACTAAACAGGTATACCAAGACTAAGAATAGAACTCAAAATGTCAGGTGGAAATGCAAAGATACTTTGTAAATTTAAAAAAAAAAAATCCCGGGAGATAGAATTAAAAGACAAATTTGTATTTTGGTTAAAAAAAATGTTGATTTCCATGCAAAATACTTTCAAAATGCACATTTCCCCATGCACGTGTATATGTATACAGGGGCATTTGTGTCTGGAATGTGATCACTGCTATACCTGTACACTCAGTAGCTATTCCAAGAGGATCACCATGGAGACATGTCATATTGTTCCCAGTGTCTCCCTGAGGGCCACCGGGCAATATGGATTCAGCACTTCCAGCATTCACACAAACTCTGGCTGCTGGGTATCACAGTTTCTGCCTCATTTATAGAAAACAAAGCACTTTCTGGGAGACAGATATTTATCCAACTTGAAATCAACTTCTGAGCTAGTTTAAAAAATATTTTATGCTTTTGGTAGCACAAACTTCAGGTTTGTATACAGCGTCTCACTTGAAACCAAAATTACTTAACACTAACATATCAAATGTTTTGAAGAAAGATATTTTTTCCTCACTAAAAATAAATATATTAATAAGATATTAAAATAATTGTAGAAAAGGAAATGACCTGCATATTAGCATAATAAAAAAAACTTACTGCAAATTTAAGAACTGAATTCAACCATGGAATAAATGAATTTCTTTGATTTATAAGACAAATCACAGTAGCTCACTCCCTTTAAATTATGGGGGTATGCTTAAAGACCATCCACAGTTATCTTTCTGGGCCTTTAAATCACCAAACCCATGCTCTGATAAGAACAAAACTTTTAGACATTGGAAAATGTTTTAAATAGAAAAGGTGAAACTAAGAAACTATAAACATGCGTGTGTAAAGGTCTGATTCGATGGGTGGGAATTCTGCCTAGCATTGGAGATTCCTGTGTTCCACAGCAGGAAGCTTTGATGCCTACCTCCTCATCCTGACTCCAGCTTCCTCCTAGTGCAAACCCTGGAAGGCGGAAGTAAAGGGCAAGGCAACTGTGTCTCAGCCAACCATTGATGTGGGAAATTTGACTCCTGGTATCAGTCTGACCCAGTCTTGGCTGTTGCAGGCATTTGGGGAATGAACTAACTGATACAGGCTCTCTGCCCACTGCTCTGTCTGTATCTCTCACAGATTAAAAATAAAAATTAAAAATCAGATGTGGAATGGGAATCTATATATGAAAGGCCCAGAGAGCATGGAAACACTGACACTATACACTCAGGCACTGAAGAATCCTGTGGTTTGTTGCAAAGAGGACAGGGAAAGGCGGAGCTGCATTCTCCCAGGGCGAGGATGTTATGTGCCACAGCTTCAGGTGTCTGTCTCTAACCTGATTCTCAGCAGAAGTCACACGTGACCAAATCTGGCTCTTGCCAACTCTTGAAAACCACCACATCACCACCACCAGATAGGATGGCAACCACAACACAGGTGAAATCATAATACTTTCCACCAGACAGAGAAAATTTGACTGAAGTGTGATGCCTTATTTTTATTTAGACTGTTATCCATCTTTACACAATATTTTCTTTTAACTGGGGGAAAATCCAGTAGGAGAACTGACCAGCGGTAGGTCCAACTGCAACCTGATCATCTGCTATGGCTTAGCCTCAGTGTTCACTACCTTTCCGTAAAAGCCCAACAGAAAGAACTCTTTCTCCATCACTCCCAAAGTCACACTGTACTCAAGACATAGACATAAAGCCCAATTCCATACAGTCATGTATAAGAAATGAGCCCTGTATAAGCATCGTCACACTGCACACGGAGGCCTTTCTTCTAACATGAGACACAGGATGTTTGTCAGACTTAGGAAGAGGCAAGCTGGAATACCCAATGGAACTAAAGTCAAGAGCCTTCACTGGTGGAGGAAAATAGTACCAACTTAAGAGACTGACGTCTCCTGTCACTCGTGTTCCATAATACATCAAACATGTTTAACAGTATAGAAAATCAAAATTTGTTTTATGCTTTGTCCTAGAATAGTAACAAAGTTAATGTCAATTGTGGGGTTTTTTTTTTTTCTATCAATTAAAAGTCTTTAACTCACACGACAAACAAGACTTCTTCAAACAAGGTTAGTGCTTTTATTGCTTAGAGTTTCATGAAGACAGTCCTACATTCCTTTTTAAATGATACTCTAAACTTCCTAAAGTATATTCTAATTGCTATTCTAATTACCACTGTATAAGTGCATACTTTGATAATATAACACATTTTTGTAAAAGTGCAGTCCATAGCCGAGGTATATATAGTGTGTGTGGGAAACAGTTTAGCTTTAGAAGAAGATAAGGCCAAAAGTCAATGATAGAGTTCAGAAATCATATCTGAAGCTAAAGCAGAGTGGTTGAATTTCTTGAAATTACTCATTCTCTTAGACTTTAAACAGCAGAAAGGCGTAACTGAAATATATTGAACTATTTGCACCCCCTACCACAAAATACTGCTGATGTGAGTGTGAAATTAGGCACTACCACATTTCTGCCTGCAAAGATAATTTTCGTTTTCTTCAAAGCATATGGCAATACACTTTTCTTTTCACTAAGAAATGAGTTTACTTTTTTTATTTTGAAAGAGATTCACATTTGCACTCATCCATCCCAACTTTCTGAAAAATAAAAACTGTCCCAATCAATTTTACAAAAATTGTACATATCTAGCACGAGTAAACATGATTTTTTGCAATCACCAGTTGTAGGTCTGTCAAATTGAAAAATACAAAATGAAAGACAAACAATATCAGAATCCATCTATTTCATAAATATTATGCAAATCTAGAATAAATCATTTCCAAAGACAGAGACTAAAGGAGTTTTTCACTCATAGCTTTTGTTGATAACTTTTTATTAACCTCAAGTAAAATAAGTTAGCTCACTTTTATAAGATCACAAGCTCCATTTTTTTTTTCTCTATTGTCTCACATATTTGCTTGAATTACAGCTTCCTTCTCTTTCCTACTTTATCAGGAAACAGTCTTCACACCAAAAATGCAGTATGATATTTCAACTATGCCAGATACTGTTCCTTTGAAATCTAAATTCACAGAAAAACTACATATTCTGCAACTTTAAAATAGAACTTTTAATATGTACATTTCATGTATTTGAGAACCAATTTCGTCCTTAATGTCCTTTAGTTGTAAATGTCAATAAACAGAAAATCAAATTGTATCAAATTGTATCTGAGTTTGGATGGGTTTTTTTCCTTATTACATTAAGTTATTACTTTGTCTAATTTCTTGCTTTTTTTTCCCACGTAGCTTTGGCACCATACAGACAAGCTGTGCCATAATAAAGAAGGGAGAGTTGAAAAACAACAGCAAATTAGTACTAATTTTCTTTTCAATGAGTGCTATTAACACCTATTAACATCAGTAAGCATAAAGAGTTTGTATCCAGAACAAAGTATCTACTTGGTCTCTATCTTTAGAAACAAACAGAAATGTTGGGTAAGAATTTTTACTGAGCAGCAAAGAATGCGCTGGTTGCTCATGGAGTGAAATAGAACCATAAATCAGGAACAGCTTTCGCAAATAAGCATGATTGCTAAGCTTTCCTAAAGGCAATTCTGAACTTGTCATTCACTCAGACTATTCCTACCTTAGAAAATAGTCATGTCTCAGACAGAATTTCCTTAAAGACAGTATACACTTCAAAACGTGAAGGAATTTTATATTTTACCCTTAAGTGTAAAAATAAATATTTCACTAAGGAATGGAAGAGAAAAAAGCACATTTAAATAATTTTATTGCACTGGAAGTTGCCAATTCTTCTGTGAGTAGTTTCATTGAAGATGAAAAGAAATCAAAATACAGGACAGATGTTGAACAAACCACATTGGAGTTCTGTCACACCCTGGCATTTTTCAAATGATTTTGGCTCATCTGTTAAATAAGGTGCATTTTGCTTGATTTTGAAAAGGGAAACATGCGGAAATATTTAAAGGCCAATTGCTGCCAATTAACTTTGATCGGTAAAAATTCTATTTGAATCTTTCAGATTCCTGTCTGAAATAACATACATTTATGGAACCTAGTGAAACAACAGCTTGATGATTAATGCCTGTTGGCAACCCTACCACAGCTTTCTTAACAGTGGAATTTAAATAAACAACTGTCTCTATTAAGAAGAGAGTTTAATGTAGTTAGGATCATGTTTTCTCATAATGCAAACTGAAAAATAGTATTCATTATTAAGAATGTCGTTAACCAAGAGTATCATGTTTGTCAGGGCTGGTAACACATTTAGCTAACCATCATACAAAAGTTCCCCACCAGTCATAACGGACCAATAAAATCATCAGCAATTTGGCATAAGAAACCCTTGCAAATGATGTCTGACTACAATACCCTGCAACATTGCCAAATCAAGTGGACCATGTTGAAAAAAAAATAGCATCCAACCTAACATGTTATGATGCAGGCAGTATTGGTAAACATCACCACTTCTGTTGGATTACAAAAGTAGTACCTACCCACAGAGATTATATAACTGAGAAAAATGAAGCTTCTGTTAATTAACAAAATCCAACACTTAAGATTCTTCTCATAAAATCCAAATCCAGACCAACGGTCAAGCGAGATCTAAGTTGAAAACTCAATAGCCAAAGCAAAGCAAAGCAGAATTACCATGAAGGTGGAAAATTTAGAATGATCAAATATTTTATCTCGTCATTCCAATTGTAGGTTAAAAATAATAGCCCATTGCTATTGTAAGACCCCTCTTCATTTTTCAGATATATCACATGAAGTATGTATGAAACAACAGAACTTACTTCTAAGTCGTTGAAAAATAGATGTGTATCAGCCAAGTTGAAAATCATTTCTTCCATCCGCAATCCAAGGGAAACTGAAGTGGGTGGATCCTAAAAAGAAAGTTTCACAGGTCATGATCATAATGCCATAAGTTGCATACACACATTTTTACATGAAGAGGGAGCCAGCACGAGCAAAGGCAAAGAGCAAAGGACACACAAGGAGACAGGCTTGGGTGGCACTTCTTGTGCACATTTTGTTGTTTCAACTTCAATATTATTTATTGAGAATGTCCAAAGTGTTCTGGTTCTTTGCATGAAGAAATCACACATTTCTTAAACCATTACAAAGATATGCCACCTATACTTTCTGAAACATCAGAGGAATGTTCTGATCTAGGTGTCTATTTCAGTAGGACCATCAGTGGACACAGAAGCTGCTGTGAGTTACAAATGCACTGCCAGAAGCACTGGAAGAGAAACAACACTGCTGATTCAGTTGGAAACAATAGTACGTAGGATTTTACCCTAGAGGACAGCTCTCCATCATTATTTATATTTATTCAGACTGCTTGTCAATTAAGTTAGAAGTGATGGTCACTTTGAGCACCAGGAACCATGCTAACTCACAGACCTGACCTGGATGCTCATGTGACACTGTCCAGGCATCAAACAGCCACTGTTCTACATACAGGGGAGTTTGAGCACCATGAAGTGTGCAGTCACTTGCACCTCATGAACCCAACATTACACTCCACAGTTGTATAGTCAAGTCTTCTAGGCACTTCAGATCCTAATGACACTATTGGCACTGCCAGGAACTGGGATGAAATGCAGATATGTGCCATCTTCACAGTGCTGCTTTATTTACAACATGCAAAGTCCATGAAGCAACGTGACTCATGATGGAAGAGCCTGCATTATCGGTGAAGAAAACATTTCAGATTCTGCACAAAATTGTTGAAGATTTTATTGGCATTCTAGAAACATGAACAATTTCCTCAGGTATGGTATTTAAAATTTTTCCAAAAGCAGTAATTTCTGATTACACTGTTTTACCCTCACAGAAAACCTGGGGAAGAAGTACAGCACCTACCCATATCACTTCTTATTCCCAGGAGGCAGAATTAGAGAAACAATACTTTCAGATAAACTATCTTTCTGGCTTGGGTAATGTATCCCCAGAGTCTTCAAGTCTTACATTAGAGTCAAGAATGTAAAATTCAAACAAGGTTGGGTCCAGCACAATGGTGCAGTGGTTAAGGTCCTTGCCTTGCACACCCGGGATCCCATATGGGTGCCGGTTCTAATCCCAGCAGCCCCAATTCCCATCCAGCTCCCTGCCTGTGGCCCGGGAAAGCAGTCGAGGATGGCCCAAGGCTTTGGGTCCCTGCACCCACATGGGAAACACGGAAGAGGCTCCTGGCTTCGGATTGGCTCAGCTCCAGCCATTGCGGCTGCCTGGGGGAAGATCTTCCTCTCTGTCTCTCCTCTCTGTATATCCACCTTTCCAATAAAAATAAAATAAATCTTTAAAAAAAATTCAAACAAGGTTATGATTTTCACGGACTTTCTTGCATTGTGTTTTGGACACACTTTGTAATTTCATGACTTGCCCTTGTCTTCATCACTATTCCCTATGTAATAAAATCTTGAGCAGTCACCACAGGCCCCACCTTCTCCTGCAAGAGGAGGGTTCTAGATGAGGGAGCCAAGCCCTCTCTTTGCTGGCCAATTTTGAAGTTCAGTGTGTTCATGGAGCCTGTTGATTAATGTAACAGAATGCTAGATGGTAAACATAGTGTTCTCATATAGAATAATACAAATGTTGTTTCTCTATTTAACACAACTATACGTGTTAGTACACCCAGCAGGGACTTGGAATGGAGAGATGCAGAAACCTGCTATGAAACAAGCACAACCAGAGAGGTAGAAGTGCCATCCATACCCTTCTAGCATGGCCCACACCCCTCAACAACAAAACAAACACAACAAAACTGTCCTCCTCCTCTCTTCTCTGCCAGGGGTGTTTGGAAGAAAGGGATGAAGGTTTGTGAAAACTGGGTGGGAAGCTATTGCTTGCCTGACTTTGTTTGGCCCCTTCTCTGTCAGCCAAGTGACAAGGGAAGGGATGCTGAGGACACAGGACAAAGTCAGGGATAAATTGAAGAAAAGAAAAAGCAAACACTCCATGGTTTGTAAGAGGATGTGGAGGAAATAAAGACACAGAGGCTAAGGGAATGTCCCAGAGCTGGCTCAGGAGAGACAAATGAAAACAATTCCCTCAGCGTTACTGCGGATGATTCATAATCCTTAGCATGCATGAAGGGTCCCTTTCAATACAACTTGCAATCTAGGACATGTCATAGGAAGCATTAGAAACAATTTACACATAAAGGAAGAAGGGTTAACTCATTTACTCTAGATTATACAGGAAATTGCTCACTCCTAATGATAATAAATATCAGTGAGAGTGCTAAAAAAAAGTCAAATATTCAAGTATTCCCCAGATCAGAATTAACCAATAGGAGAGGCTCAAACAGCTGTTCTGAAACAAAACATCTGACTAAGGTGTTTACTCCCTCTAGTTCAGGCCAATAAAAACACACTGACTTGTCTCATAACCATGTCAGTGAACCTTTTTATGTGGCAAGAGTGGGGACTCCGCCACATTTGTTGAAATGCCAAGTGTGGAATTTATGTGCCACAGTATCGTTTCTTTTTTAAAAAGTATTATTTCTCCTTGATATGTTGATTATTTATATGGTCATCAAAAGATTTACTCCCTTGTTTGTTAAGGTATAGCACACTTTAACTTTTCTTCATAAATTACAGTAATGACTTGCTAGTTGGAATACTAATAAATTTTAAAGGCTTGTTCCATCCTGTGGTAAAATACAACACAGATGTTGGACTTATTTACCTCATAATGTTATTTGCTTTTGTTATTATAGTCATTCCTTAGTAGTTTTTATACCTGCTACTCCGTGGTATTATTATGAAACATTTATGACACCAAAGTACAGTTTGGCAGTTGACTGGAACAAGATAATTTGAGAACGGAAATAGGCTCTAGCTGAAGTAGTGATTCTCAACCATCTTTTTACTACAATACACCATAAAAGAAATTAAATTTTACACCATGATCTTGTAAACTGCCTCCCTCCCCTACCCTTCCTCTCTCACTCCCTCTCTCTCTCTCTCTTTCACACACACACACACACACACACACACACACACACACACACACACACGAACATGCACACAGTTGAAATCAAGTTTTGCAAAGTGGGATTTCACTAACTGTATGGAGTACACTGTGAGTTCATAGCCCTGTCATGATCTACAATTTGAAAAGCAGAACTCCAGAGGACACAGACTCTGTGGTTTTAGACAAGAGCACTGCCATTTAGCAGTATGGAGATCTGGGCAAGATACGTGAACTGTCAGTGTGTAAAGCCATTTCAAAGAAAAAAAACAGAAGAGGAGATAGCTGTGTGTACTGATTTGTTGACACAATTCTAATAGCTAGAATACTTGTAATACTAGTTGATTTCAGTTTTTTTATTGTAATAGAAAGTATTTCAATACCTTCAAAATTTTTGAGCACCACTGATGCAAGTCAAACACAACAAAAGCTAATACCGTACGGCTAATAAATTTGTCATACCTTGATGGCTTATTTTGGCTATTTAGAAGAAGGAAAAAGGCATTCTTAGAGAAAAACTGAGATGTGAAAATCACCACGTCTTTGGTTTAATATTACTTTTCACTAATAGCTAATTTTCTTGAAATAACAAATTCCAGGGCAGCAGTTTCAAAATGGTTCCATCTTTCCAAGACATCATTTTTTGTTATATCATTTTGAAAAAGAAATCCCTCTGCCAAGCATTTCCATTCTTTTCTGGCCTTCACCTCTGCATGGCACTCATCAATGCTGTCCACCCTCTTCCTGACCTAGTGTCTCTTCTGGTTGTCAATGATGCTACAGGTGGCAGCTTAACTCGCTATGCCTTCTCAACAACCCCTATTATTTATTTATGTGTGTATGTATTTAATTATTTATTTTACTACAAAACCCTTTCTTTCAAAATGACAATGGAGACACTTAAGATAAAGTGACTTTTTTAGAAAATACTGAATTTAATCTGAAGTTGTTAGTGTTCTGTGTTCTTGAAAAACATTCTTAGTTACCTAATGTTAGAAGAAAAGTGGGTACATGAATATTGAAATAATTGTATATAAATAATACATTGGTAAACATGTTCATTAGCAACCATTATTTGCCTGGTTAACGAGTTAAATCAGCTGCATGAGAAGTCTTCTTTAAGGAGCTGGATAATTAGCCTCAGATTAAGAAGACGCTGTCAGTAATGGCACGCAATCAACATTTTACAAAACATGTACTTTGAAATTTAATTCCCTAGTCATAATGGGAAAGAGAGTGAAGAAGTTCAAAAAGAGAAACTATAATAAAGTGCTTTCCTATTTTTTCTTGTTACATGAGGGAACCATTCCAGCCTTTACACCAGGAAAGTGTAGTGAAGATCTTTCCTTAAGCAGTCCCTTACTAAAAGCAGAATGTATGACATCTCCTTGCAGAAATGAAATTTAACCCTGCTCCTAAATTATGTGAGTGTGATATTAAACTGCAAATATCAGAGTAATATTTTGAAAGTGAAGAAGGCCTAATTACAATGCTAGGCTACCCACAGCTGTTTTCAGCACATCAGACATACTGTGTCTACTGAACAGGTTATAGTAGGTAGAACAATTAAACAATGATGGAATCTGCTGAATATCAGTAAACCAAAGCCTAAAACAGCTGTTATGCCTTCATCCTCTGTTAAGTGATCTTTAATTATCCCATTGCTTCAAGTCTTTTTCTCATGTTTCTGGAATACAAGAGACTTAAATTTTCACCATTCATTGTACACTCCACTTACCAGCATCATTCCCCAAGCCACTGTTCATGTGTTAACTGTTTCCTATTTATTTTTTCACCCTGATCAGTTACTGAAAAAGATCTTCATATGATGAAAATGCTTATCATGCATTGACTGTGACCCAGCAAATCTAGTTTTCAACACCTTCCTTATTATAAAAGAAAA